TCGCCACGCCCCCGGCGTCGGGCTGCCGCCCAGATAAGCGCGGACCGGGGTGCCGAGGGAGCGCTCGGAATAATAAGAGGAAGGCTGAAATCACGCGGTGTTATTTTTAATCGCGAGGATTTTTTTTTTTCAGTTATGATTTAATGTGTCACCTCGTGCCCTTAGGCACCATGCTCAGGCAGCACTGAATTTCATGCTGAAATTCTCCCGGGCGCGGGGTTGTGGCAGGGCAGGCTGGCCCTGCTTGATGCTGCCTTTGTTGGGGGCAGGGAAGGAGAAGTAGATGTTGGCAAGGCCTTGTGCGCCTGCTGCTCTTCAGTGGGACTGTGCTGGTCTCCTCTCCAGGGGTAAATGAGACAGCAGCAAGCTCCTCTCTGGCAGATGCACGTGAGGCAAAAATGATTGGCATACCTGCCAGTGAGAAGGGACATGTGGCACTGCCTCGGGCATCTTAATAAACTCAGCAACGGCTGCAACCTAAAAGAGAGCTTCAGCTATTTTCCATTAGCCAAACCTGCAGCTTAGACCTCTGCTTTGTAAAGTATAAGAAGAGAAGCCACCACTGAGTTCTTACTGTCCCTTCCACTGAAAGTGCTGTGTTTTACAGCAAGGACACAGCGTGTGTTTAGCTGCACAAGCAAGCGTGTCTCCATAGCCCATGGTGAAAGAAGAAGTAGAAACTTCCCAGTTCTAGTGGGGAGATGCTCTGATGTGGGCTCTGGCTAACATGCTAAGGAGAGAGTTCAATCAGTTCTTTGGCAAGAATTGCCAACAGCTCATTTAAACCTGCGCTATGCCAAACTGCTATAATTAGATTTGAGCTCTTCAACAGCTCTGAACATCTTTTGATTTCAGCAACTGAGCCTCCTGCAGAGGCAGAATCTTTGCACCATCTAGCGGCCACACTAATTCAGAGTCATCACATTTCTATACTCTGTGCTATGTGACAGAGGTCTGGCACCTTGCCTCTGACTTTAGGCACTCTCAAGCACCTTTTTAGTTTATAGTCTGAGTTTCTGTTTTGTTTTCCATTGCTATTTATTGGACAAACAGAACTACCTACATAGTATGTTCTTGAGAGCAGCCTGCTGATGAAAGAAAGGATGGACTTGAATTAAATCACTTCTGTTGCAGTCTGCTAATGCTCCCTACTGGAGAAAGATTTATTATATTGCAAGGGACTCCTGCTTCTGAAATCCATTCAGT